ATGCCCACATAGAGGTCTCATTGGCTATCTCCGATTGACAGGCTAGACGCCACCCCTGCACTATTAATCCTCAAATTGACACCAGATTATGTAACTACCACCTCATCTCATGGACTTGGGACATGTTAGCAGGAGAGACCCATCCCTGGAAAAAAGATATCATGGTAGGCAAACTAGCTGTTATACCTTCCAGTCAGTTCTGACTCGTAGCAGCTCTGTAGACAGAAGGAAACACTTCCCGGTCCTGCACCATCCTCACAATTGTTATGTCTGAGTCCATTAAGACAGCCATCGTGCCGATCCAGCTCCTTGACGGTCTTCCCCTTCCCACGGATCTTCGACTTTGTAGAGGATCGACGGAAAAGAGGAGGCTGGATTGACACAGTGGCGCAACAGCAGATGCAAACATAATGATGATTACGAAGATCACACAGAACCAGGAAGGGAGTCCTTTGGTTGTCCGGAGGGTCACTAAGAGTAGGCACGAACTTGACAGCATCTAATGACAACAACACTAACACCTATAACACCTTGGGAAGAGAAATTAAGCTCATGCCTCAGGACCTCACACTTTTCTCGAGTTAGCCTCCGTGAGAGCAAATCTCACCACAGCATGCATTACCCACCAGCGCCCTTTCTGGTTTCTTACGTCCTCTTTCTCTTCGGGCTGCCTAAGTATAGAGACCGCAACTTGATGTCTTTCAAGAACTCACTCACGGCCATCCAGTCGGGTCCAACTCGTCGCGATCCTGGAGGACAGACTAGAACGGCTCCTGGGGGGTTCTGAGACTGTAACCCTTGACCATCTCCCTTGTATGTCTCCTGGCTTTCTCCCGCAGAATGGCTGGTAGTTTTGAACTGCTGACCTTGCTGTTAGCAGTCCCAGGTGGAACCACTGCCACAGTTGAAGAGGCTAAGAGTCCAAATCGGGATCTCAACCACGTTGGCATTACCCTGGTGGTAGCCCAGTGATTCTTTGGTTCACGGTGTGCCTTGAGTTGATGATGGTCCTCACGTGGTGTGTGTCTGGGGGGGGGGAGGGCGGAAGGCCAGCCCCCACAACTAATCATGGGTCCAGTAAGTGCAATTGTACGGTTGAGATATATAAAGATTAAAATAAAGTCATACAGCATGAGAGAGATAGGAGAGAGAGTAGAATGAAGGAGTCAGACACATTTCATAGTAGCATGCTCACCTCCTGGATGGCCATGATCTTACCAGCCAGATCTGTGCACAGCACGGGCAGAGAGGGAAGGAGAGAGAGTGGGAGAGAGCCACGTTTATTGCTAACCAAGGCTTTTAACTACTTAGGGGGGCATGATTACAAGTAACCACACGTCACAGGAAGGGGCAGTCCAATAGGCATAGACATCATAGGAAGGGGATGTACAATAGGCATAAGTGTGACAGGAAGGGGATGAGCTAGGGGTGTGCACATAGGAAGGGGAGGGACTAGGGGAATACATGTGACAAGAAGGGCGGACCCTAGATTCATGATGGTGGCCTAACGTTGGCCACCCTTGAGTGGGCTTGACCTCCCTGGGCTCTCCCACAGGGAAACAATCTACTATCCTTATCAGAAGGGAGTGAGCCCTACTTGTTGTGGGATAAACAGTGGTGACTTCTTCTCTGGATGGCTGATAACCCTTAGGGAGAATAACCCCTGACCTACTTCTGTTGACCTCCAAGTGTATAGTCATTAACCACGTGTAGCAAGCGGCTAAGTTAGGCCTATATTTGGGGGAGACAACTTGGGAGAAATCTTTCTGTTTCCCACATGTCTGCCTCCAACTGTGTCTCCGTGTCCATTCTGGTCTCTTCGTGGGTCACAAGCGATTAGACTTATTATCCATACTCCACTGACAAGATCTCAATAACATAACCAAAGGAAAGCTTGGTGTCCAAACAGGATCTGATCCACGGTTCTCAGGACCAGGAATTCAACACATCCTTTGGGTGGACACAATTCAATTGTGAGAATGCTCTTCTCTCCGTGCCTCCCATTCATCCAGGCTTTTTGTTGCTTTGCAAGGGGTCGCTCTTAGCAAGCTCAGCCCTCTGCCTGTCACATATTGCCAAAACCAAGGATCGCTTTTGTGACCACTGTAACTTTGCCAAAGACACACTACC